AAAGTCAAAGGATGTTGACTTAGTTATTATCAACATTAATTAGAGATGACTGATTTTGTGATTTACTCTTATTATACATCTGATTCAGAGAAGGTTACACTGATATCTTTTTAGAGATGTTGACTTTACTCTTGTGATTAAGAGAAGGTTCCACTGATATCTTTTTAGAGATGTTGATTAAGAGAGAGATTGGATCTGGTCATTAAATATTGAAAAATCTTTTCTTTGAATACAACTACAAAAAGATTCTTCTATAAATAAAATGCCACAAAACAAGGAAAAATCTTTTCATCAAAGCTCTCTCCCTCTCTTCCATTGAATATACAACTTCTCAAGCACACAAGAACGTGAAGAATAATTATAAAGTTACCACCCAAAAGTGTGTATAAAGGAAGAAGATTGTCTTTACTTCACGTTTCGCTGCTGCTTTGCTCTTCTAATCCTAAGATTTTGAAGCCATGAAACATGGGAGCTTAAAGAGACCTTTCAGTTCAGTTTGTGTAGGATTTGACAGTGAATTTGAACAAAAAAAACTCCACGTATCTGTCCTGTCCTCATGTATGATAGGAACAACATTCCTGAGAGATACAGAGAGAGCAAGACTAATTAATCTCTGCTAACTGGAAAATATGCAACAAGCATTTAATGGCCGGTATAAACTAACTTGGTCTTCGATTTTGCTATGCTAAGAGTAACTTTGAAAGCTAACTCACCTGTTGGATCTCCCGCCTTGCACAATTTAAGGCAGCATGAAGAAAACATGAAGATATTTTATAAGGTTAGAACTGAAGTAGATAGCGTGAAACATGGAGACTAGCAATCATTTGCATCAAGGTCATGAACAGCAATCACCTTTGGATAAACTAGCGGAATTGCCAAAGGAGTAGACAATGAAGACACATGGTTTATCCAAAATGATCGGTCATCAATTCTCCCGCCTGTTCGTAAGCCAACACCTTTGGTTAAGGCTGAAAACGAAAAATAATGAGATCTCAAGTTCTGATCACAGATAGAACAAAATACAAAGCAAAAATAGTACCATTAGTTCACAAAAAAAGAAGAAGATTAAATACATCTTAATGAAAAATAATGTCTAAACTTGCTCTCCCATATGATCATGATCAGTATGAAGCATGTTACAATGTCGCAAAAGCCCCACAGAAAGCAGCACATTTATCAAAAAAGAAGTACAGCCTCAACGCCTTTTATGCAAGCACATATATTGCATATCCATATCCCAAGTAATTCAAAGGCAAGAATTAGCCAGCGGACATACAATTTTAATTAACTTGTCATTCAAGACAAGTCATAGAAAGTACCTTGCGCACATGGAGCAAACCAACCTAAAGTGGTGTACTTTTTGTGTTTCAAATTGATAAATAGTGCCAAGGAAATACCGAGATTATATAGTGGCAAAAGCTTGAGTGCTTCGGGAAGAATAAGTTGTCCAGATGATGTAATTGCTTGCTTATTTACCAATGGAAGTGCCTTGGAAGGAATCTGATGCCAATCATAGATTGTAAATCAAAACAAGCCAGGAAACAGAACCAAAGAAATGCATTAAAAAGATCCATTACTTCAAGACCTCTAACACAGAGGCACTATAAGAAGCATGTGTTCCTTTTCATCTGCAGAGGCATTAGCTCTGCCATCGGCCTCTGTAGAAGAAAGTGCTCCAATGCCAACAGAAGGCAAAACTACAGGGGAGATGGTAATCATATCATTTAGGTACCAAACAGTAAGGTATGCATATTTCAGGTGATCCAAGAAGGATTCCAATTGATTGGGAACAGAAGCATTAGACTATAGGCCCAAATAGAATAAACAGCATACCTGAATGAGCTTTCCTCCAGTGCTCTTCATCGCAGCCTAGGAGGAAAAAAGCATGAGTCAATGGCATAAGGAGAGCAATAGACCTAATCGGAGTTTTGCTATAACACCAGCCCCACTGGCCAATCCACCCACAAAATCAACTTCAACTAACTTCCTTGATTACTTTTCCAAAATGATTAAGCACTTTTTGGCCATTGCTTAACTGCTGCACCAAAAGCAGATTCAGGACTCTTGCTTTCCTGAAACATTTCCAGCAAAATCTCTAGGCACCGAATTGCAATAGAATAAAGGTAAATTCAGAGAGAATAAGAAAGAAATTCCACAAATATCAGAGAGAAATCAAACCGAATATAAACAAAAGACATACCTGAACAATCATAAGTGCAACGTAAACTCCAGCGTGAAGGGAAACAACGAAGTCAAGTCACCCGGTGGTCTAAACTTCCTGACGCGTTCACCTACCTTCCACATTCTTGTCAAATCAAAATCTTCCCATACGGAATGCAGGCCATCCCTCCTTATCCTATGACAAGCAAGAAAATCCATCAAAACGCCTGCACAATCTGTGTAACTAAGTAAAATATATGAACATCTTTTTCGCAGTTTCCTTAGTTTATCTTGTTATTTAATAACTTCTCCTTTACTTGTTCTTTTTGACAAGGAAAACTTGTCTTTCTTTATGTTCTCTTTTGGTTTTATGATTTCTAACATCCAGAATTTTTCCAATCTCAGGTTAAATAAATGGAAACTAGTTTACCAAGAGACTTACCTTTTCTCAAAAGTGTGGCTTTATTCTCATCAAGAGGTTTTATCAGTGCAGGTTTGCAACCTGGACATCGAGGGAAAAACACACAGACATAACTTTTCAATTAAAACCCAAGCAAGCAAGCTAATCTATGGCGCGAGAAAACTTACAAAGCCGAGAATAGTTAGAAGTTAACTTATGAAGTGTGTTGCAGGCTTCCGTCAAGAGTTTCTAGGGTAGGCAGGCAAACACCAATTTATGTAACACCTGCATATTGACATCTGCACATTTTTTTGTTTCCATATGCCATAGCCACTGTCTTGCTTGATTTAGCTACATGAAAAGTTTGAAACAAAAAGCCAGATCTTCAAAGACATATATATTCATTTGCTATCAAAAAAAATTCTGTAGCCGATTCATTCGCAATCAATCAGATCAAGAATCAATAATAAGGACTACTATATTTCTATATTACCACCATGTGAAACAAACTTAGTCATTGTCTTCCGACCATCAAAACCTCTCTCTAATTAACACATTGAGATGAAGTGATTTATCATATCACTCTACTGATTCCAACAAATTGAAGATACCCAGATGCCAAAAGCATAGTGATAACCAATGAAAGCCAACCATTAAAAGATTTACTTTGCTTCAAAGATCATACATACTGACTGATTATGAATTTTCTGGCTGCAAGTCATCAATAAACCAGCAACAACAACCCTAGCTTCAACATGACCCTGTGCACATTTAGGCATTGATATGAACAAAATCTCAGTCCAAACAAAAGTAGGCCATAAGGACTATGAGTTGAAAATTTTGTGAATAATGCTTTCATGGGTTTTTTGTTGAAAACAAGTTAAACGACCACAAAGATATGTTGGAACATGTTTGTACCTGATACATAGACAATAGACGGGAAACAACATGACATGCAGTAGACCAACCTCAGAGAGAAGTAATCTACACAAATATATCGATCAAGATTAACAACAAAGTTGGAATCAAGACACTTCTCTGGCAAAAAGCTTAACCATGGTGAAAAAGGGTAAAAAATCGAGCTAAGAAAAGGAGACAATGATACTGCAACATGATGGACTGGCCTGACTTATGCATTCTACAATTGTGTGTTTCTAAAACTTTGACGAGGGATGATTAACCTGCTAGAGTGGTCAAGTTCATTGATATATTGATAGAGGAACGCCAAACCTTATCCTGAATAAACAAAAAAAGAAAGATTTTCTCAGAGAAACAACAGAGTGCGATAAAAGAAGTCGAATTCAAGTCTACTTTCTGTATTGAAGCATTCACACGAATAAATATTTGAGTTGATATAATCTCAAAGAAAAACCAGAAGTCTAACATATTTCATAAACTTGCTACTGCAGATGATTAAGAGTAACCACATCATTTACAACCTAACACATCATTTCCACAGAGATTTGAAACTCGATAGAGCAAATTTCTTCAACCATAATTGTAAGAAAAAAAGAGTTTCTCTGGATGAAATACACGGTTGAGAAACCATAGTATCAAACACTGAAAGCTCGTATGAAAAGCGATCGATGGAGATTTTTACCTGTTTCCGATTGATGTATTCCCGTATCTAAAAATCAACCTCCGATTAAATCAGACTTTGGTATACGATGCAGTATGAATATCGAAACGATGGTGACTCAGTTGAATCCATGACAAGTAATGAGTGATTTTGGTGAGGAAGAAGAAAAGATTGACGAACCTGAAGATCCCCGAGAAAGCTAAGGCTCTAGCGATCGTGTATAGGTAGTGAAATCACAGGATGCTTTGACTTGAGATTCGTTTTTTGTGACTCGAAGATTTTCGAATGCTGTCTCCAATTTCAGAATTTGGGATTCATCATCATTACATTGTGTGAATCCTCACACCTGAAATGCAAGTCGTATCTTGGGAAGAATTAAAGAGGTTTTATCTCAAACTTTGAGATATGTAGAAATCAAATGTTTTCATTGGTTACTCGTACTAATTTTTTTTTGTTGGGTTCAGGTTAATACATAAAAATGCTGATTTTATAGATTTAGTAATTCCGAGAAAAACATATACCACGAGAGATTTCGTTATCTAATCAGAGTATATATATTGGTACAAAGACTATCACTGATTTCATCGAATGCCTAACCGTAGACATGGATGAAATATATATAATTGTTTCATCGAATGCATGGATGAACATTTACTTTATGCAAATAAGAAGATAATTATATATCAATTTTAGTAGACAATATAACCTTCTATACCCAAAAAAAATCAAATGCGTTCATGAAGTTGGTTATGTTAATAACCAAATAAAAATGCATGTTACCATCTATATATATATATGTTTAATTTCTTGCTCAATGCCATCCATCATGTAAGAGAACATTTTGATTAGAGATTTACATTACTCTTGGCTAGTTTATTAAAAAAATCGTGGTTAGTTCATCAAATACATCACCAAATCTCCTTAAGCACCTCTGACCTCTTCCCCAATTGGAGCTATGTATGCATGGTATTGTATCCCATGATTCCACATAACACAACAACATATGTTCCTCATCCCAAGTATCATGAACATAAAGAGCATGGTTAACTAACTCAAACTCGTATTTATAACTTGCACCTCTAGCTATTTCATTC